TGCCTGGTGGCTATGACTGGGTAGCTCGACATTCATGCGAGCATGCTGTGATGGAGGTCGCATCGGCTACCACCTCTTCCGCATCGCCTTCAATAGGTTGGATGGCAGCGATGACAAAACGGTTTGAACCACCCGCCGACGACTTCGCTGGTCAGGTGCTGGAGTTGGTTAGCTGAGCTGAGGCTCACTTCTATTTGTTGGAGCACAGGCAATATCCTGACAGTGCTGTCGCCGATGCGAGAGTATTGGTGATCAACTCAAGGAAAGCGGAGCAGTCTGAAGAGTGAAGTTGCTTAAGCCTAAGGCGAGTGGAAAGCCCTTAACACTCAATCATAGCACATTGACAAGGCCAAGAATGCTGGATAGGGATAGCATAAGTGTTGTTAACCATATCTGCATGGGGTTGAAATTTCATTCATATGTTACAAATTTCGCTGGTCAATTCGACTCCTGTTCTGCATGCGGGGTGTTCTGTTCTGCCTCCGACGTCTCCTGTTCTGCCTCCAGCTTCTCCAGGTACATTAGTTTAGTCCAATCAAAGACGTTGTCATACTGGAAGTGCTGACGGCAGAACAAACCCCGGAATAGGCGTCGTAAACGGCGATAGTCGAGTCCCTTGTCCGAGCGGATAAGCTCAAAGTACTTCTTGAACTCAACAGGAACACCATTGAAGAGACTGCGCTTCCTTGCTTGCCGCTTCTCTGCTTGCCGCTTCTCCTTGAGGATCATCTTCTCTTTTTCCTTAGATTTACACTTTAGGCCCTGCCAGGGAAGTGAGCCTTTAAGGAAGTATAAGAGAACATATCCAAGAGATTCCATGTCATCGCGAGGGGATTGCTCTGCAATGGCGCATTAGAAAGGTCTTCTATATAATGTGCTGCACTCACCTCTTCCCAGATGTGCATTGATGCTGGCATATCGCAGTGTGCCGACCACAGAGTAGCTGTGCCTATCCGAATCTTCAATCTCTTTTGCCAGACCAATATCTGTCATATAGACAGTATTGCCTTGCGTGCCGATGCCCATGAGCAGATTGTCCGGCTTAACATCTCTGTGGATGTATCCCTTCGAATGAATATACTGGAATCGAGAGATGAGCTGGTCTGCAAGTAACAGCACAGTCTTGAGTGAGAATTTGCGGCCGCAATAGTTGAAAAGATTCTCCAGGCTTGGGCCCAAGAGCTCAAATGCCATTACCCTGAACTCGCATTCAGAGCCATCCCAGTATACCCGAGGGATACCATTGCCGGGCTCAAGTTTTCTGTAGATTTCGACTTCATTTTTGAGTTGTGAAGGATTAACTTGGCTGTACTCGAGTTTAAGAGCCACTGCTTTGCCGGTTTCGAGGTGGTGGCCTGTCTCAATCAGTCGTTGTCACAAATGCAACGACATGCTCTTACCTTCATACACTTCGCCATACGAGCCACCGCCTAGTCGAAGGTCTAGCTGATATTTGTCTCGTACGATAAGAGGCTTCATAGCGAGGAAGACGGGCAGCGCATGTCGCCAATCGCAATTGCGCGCTTTTCACCACTTTCCGCAAAGCTTGCAATGGTGGTGGTGTGCAGGAAATGAAGAGAACGTGGGTTGTAGGCGCGTGCTGCTACAGGCCTAGTCCGCGAGAGGAGTCGCGCTAAATATTAGCGCATACCCTCCCGATTAATAGCTGAGAACGCTGTCGCGCTCAGCGACTCTATGCTTTGCGCATCCCTCCTCTAATCACAGTATCTGGTCTTGGCTGAGACAATTGCTTCCAGTCTTCGTTTACAATCTTGTCTGGCGCCCCCAGCAAGAAGTACTAGCGTAAATTGATCTCGTCTTTCAGTACACTAACGGCACGGCAAACACGTCCTCTGCTGCGCCGCGGAACAGCATGTATGATTCGATTTGTTTGATGCCGTTTCTCGAGCGACGTTTGGCGGGCAATGACGATAACGATTGGCGTCGCACAGACTTCTGATCGTGCGCATTTTCGTGGTGGCATGAAAATGGGGTGGAGATGGTGAGTTTGATGGCCAAAGGATGCGATGCCTGGACTGTGCAGCCGGAACGTTAACTTAGTCAACTAACTAGGGCACGGACCTTGGTTATTCGGATATTTGTTCTTCCGTCCAGCTTGAAATTTTCGCCTTGTGAGAATCCTTTACTTTTTTCTCCAATCGCCATTTACAATGTTCAGTAGGACATACCGGCCTGTTATCTTCTCCCTAAACTCTAGGCTCTCTCATACAATCAGATGTACCCATCAACGTGGTTATTCGGTCATCTCTACTCATTCCAGCTTCCCGGCCACGCTATTGCGCCTTAATGCTGGTTCAGCGTTTAATCCATTCTGGTTTGAGCGACAGGCGAACGAACCAAGCATCAACGATCCACTTGAACAATCAACGGAGAACCATGAGAACGCTGATGCCTGGACGAATTGCCTGGGTATGTTGTTTCAGCCTCTATTTATTGTACTTCACTAATTCTAGACACAGCTTTGGATAGGGCGACGCTTATGCCAAACACATTCATGATGCAAGAAATCATCCGAATGGCGGCCGACAATTATTTCGAGAACAAGGAGAACGGCATGTCTATCGAACGTCCTTTCATCTTCACTGTACCAAAAGGTGTGCAAGGTTTTCTTCAGCGTGATCAATGTTAACTATATTAAGGGACTGTATTGCCTAACACTCTGATACTACTGAGGGAAACCCCGTCCCAGTTTTCCTTGCGGCCGTCTCTGCATGCCTCTCCCAATGGTAATTTCCTTACTTACAATATTTACGACATCCGCTTATTGTCTCAGATCTAGACAATATTTTGCATGAGTTTTACTCAAAACATGCAGACAAGCAGGATGTTTATGAGTGGCTTACGGATCATAAGTATGAGGATGCCATTGCCGCTGAGAATGAAAAGGAGTGGATGGCTAGGTAGCCTTAAGTGTTTGTGTGTTTCGTATAGGTATGAAGAGCAAATACGCGTTATTCAACGGATAGTGGATGGATGGTCTGGGTGAGCTTGTTACTGGGTCAATTGCTACTCCTACTGTAAATCACGTTATCTAATTACGAAACGGCGAAAGGGGTTTATATGAGAAAGACTCATGCACTACCAACCTTACATCACTAATATCATAACTGATCCTTTTGTTTCTTAATATTGCCAGCAATATACAATGCACACAATCTATCGCAACCATCTCATCCATCTCGCTCGAAGAACCACTGTGCCAGCATTCCTAAATACGCGTCGTTAAGCTCTTCCCTTCCTCTTGTCCCATTATCTTTGTCGACCTGATGCCCATAGAGTAAGATGCCAGCAAAGAAATTGATGATTTTGTGGATGCTATTTACAAAGTGCGAAGGTGAATGTCCAATGTATAACCAAGGAGCCAGAAGAATCTTTTCTTTGCACCTTATTGTGGCGGTGGTGGCGGTGGCGGTGGTGACGGTGGAGGTGGAGGAGGCGGTGGAGGTGGAGGTGGAGGAGAAACCGTGCTCATATTTTGAAAGTTCCCATGCATAGCTGATTTTGTTGAACCAGTCGATTGGATCGTACCACCCTCTCTTATGAATATGCCTGAAATTCCTGCCGCAAATAATGCTGAAGAAGTAAATGCAAGCCATTGTAGCACGTTCAGCGCCGTTCCAGTCGTGATCCTAACGCTCGATACCTCTGTCTGAGTGACAAAGGCCATGCCGTTCGTTGTTTGATTGACAGCTATTGCGGACGCTAATGAAAAGGAAACCGAGAGCCACGATACTGTGAACAATGCCTTTCTTAAGAACTGTCTACGCCGGGCTGCGGTTGTATTGCCTTTTGCCACAGTTTTGAAGTCGCGCTTTAATAACACAACAAAGAAGATGCTGATAGTAAACATAACACCAGCTCCAGCGATAAAAGCAGGCATGACTCTTGACTGAATTGTGAGTGCGAGTGATATCATGCTTGCTAAGCGGTAAGAGTTGGCTTCGTTGGAGACTGAAAGTGTACTTGTGGGTTGTAGTATGGCAGTCGCGTTCTTTCCAGAGCTTGGTTGGCAGGTTAATTGGCCTAATACTAAAGTAAAAATGCCTATTCATATATCAGTGAGTTCAACCAATGTAAACGAGAGTGTCCTTTACCGAAGTATCCCACGCGTATTTCTGGAATAGGAAAAGTTGTATTGCCCTTACTTTGCAACTTCACCAAGAAGATGTTTGGAACTCCAGGAGATTGTGATACGCATCCAGTAAGCGACAGTGCTAGATACACGTTAGCAGAAGTCACTAGAGTACAGCATATGACAGCGTACTATAAAATACAAACGTAGACACAGGAAGAAGGTATATCAGAAGACGATAATTCACGTTTTCTGCGGGGAATTTTAGCCTATATGCGGAACCTGTTATACAAAACTTACGCATGCGTTGAGTAATCCCCATTTTGGCGGTCGTGAAGAACTAGAACTGATTGTGTCTGCAATAGAGGATCGGAAGAAAGAATTAGAAGGTTGAATAAGCGAATATGAATTTGATAGCTAGGCTAAGTTATATTTCTTGTTGGATCTCCGTATTTATATTGTCCTATCACGCACGTAATTTTTGGTTTCTTTTACTTCCGCATCATCGAATGTTAATTTTAGTTCTCCTCAGAAGGGACCCGGTACTGATGCGCGCGCGCTTCCATTAGAGACCATTACGATCCAGAGAAGTAGATCTCTACGATGCTTTGAGCGACCTTGGCAAACCAGGTTTCTTGATCATTTTCCTCTTTAGAGTGATATATAAGCGCCAATATGAGACAATATGGGTTTAGAGGTTGCCGTGTGCCTCTGTTCTCTTCCAATATCACCTGCGTTCTATTTCGAGCAACTGTTCTATGGTGCCAATAGTCAAAGGACCCACCGCTACGCCGCTATTGACGCCAACGCTATGTTTGTGACAGGACAAATCCTTAGCATGCGGCACAGTCATTATAATCTCAATTCTTTCCATTGCAATAGTCACGAAAGTCCAATCTCAATTGTTTGGGGGAGGGGTTCAATGAAAAAGTTATACTGTGTTTTAGCGTGTAATGCACGGCCTCGCGTAATGCACGGTTCTGCGCGAAGCTGTTAAAACTTCAACCACCTCTCTCTTAACTAATATGGGCAGTATTAAGGCTGCTTTAGAGTTGCTAAAATTGCTAAAACCTAGAGAATTACTAAATTATGCTGCAGTAGCTAGGCAGTATAGCGTTAATTAATCTACGCTCTTAAGGCGTCACTAACATGTTACCCACCTGCGTGTAGAGAAACTTAAAAATTAGCAACTACTTAGCCTAGTGTAGAAGAAAGAGCTAGTAGAGTACATTAATAGACTTTACATAAAAGGTCTATTCTTTTTAAGACAGATAATTTAAAATTTTGTAATAAAAATAGGTAGTAAGTAAGCTAGTAAGAGCTAAGTTAATTAATTTATTAAAAGGCACTTTATTAACTTATTATCTTAATAGACATCTAGCATAGACGCTGCGCGTAACAAAGCTAACTTAGCATTTAAGTACTTACTATATTTTAAGCTTGTACGCAAAAAAATTAAGTAATATAGCATAGAACTACAGCATACCTATAATATAAATAAAAAGGGCTTCCTAATTAAAGTACTATTAAAAATAAAGTAAATCTTCTCTAGATAGTAGTATAAGTAAGGTATTAAGCAGCAGCTTATACAGGATAGTAATTATAAGTAGATTATAATAATAGCCTGCATCTGCGCTAACAGTAGCTCTCTTACACCTACGCTAATCTACTAAGCTATTTTTAACTATATATAAAACTTTTAGCTATAGAATTTTAACTTTTTTAAGCATTAAGCTTTCTTTACTTTATTACTTATAAGTTAAATAAATAATAAACTAGGCCTAGCATAGCTTAAACATGTGTTTAATTACAAGACTAAAGTAAAAGTGTAATAGGCGTACTAACTTTTATTCCTAGATAGCTATAAATTACATGTTTTAATAAAGTTTATTAAGTACTATAATAACAATAAAATCCTTCTAGCTATATACCTGCTGCATGCAACCTATACACTATAGCCTCTTAATATCTGCATGTTTAAACCTTTCTTATTAGCCTACTTAGCTAAGCTAGCTAGCTTTATAGATAGATGCTAGAGACTATTATTAATTAAAAAAAAAACTTTTATAGCATGTTTAATAAGGCCTAAAAAACATTTTTTAAGCATAAAACTATTTTTAGTACTTTTAAAGTAACTAGTTTATTACTATTTAAGCTATAAGTAGTCTTAGATTAATTTTGCTATAAGTAAAAAAAGTAACTATTTTTTAGTAAAAGCACTAGCTTAGCGCTTAGTGCAAAAAATTAAAAAAAAGTTAAAAGCCTTTTAGATAATGTTATTAGTAATCTTTATAAAAGAGATGTATAAAAGCTTAAAAAGACTGTCTAGTTATTCTTAGTGCGTTGCATTCTCTTTTAGTGTAAGCTTAAGCAGGTTAAAATTGCGCTAATTAATAAGAAGAAGCGCTGCTAGCGTAGTAAGCCTCTTCTACTAGAAGCACTTCTAGAATATTATAGTAGTGCAACTTTCTAGTCCCTAAATAAGGTCTAAGAAGCACATAATTATTAGGCATAAAAAGATGCTAAGAAGAAGGCTCTACAGCTTTAAAAATAAGAAAAGGTAAAGTGTAAAAAAGCAAAAAAAGCTAAAAAGGCGCGCGCAGTTAAAAAAAAAAGGCATAAAGTAGTAATAGCAAAGAAAGCTTACCTGCAGGAGCTTAAAACAAAAGCAGCTTAATAAAAGAAGGCAGAGCTTACTTAGCAGGTTAATTAACAGCTTAAAAATAACTTCTAGCAGGTAATAAAAGGCAAGCAAAAAGCTCTTACGCCTATTGCTAGTACAATAGAGGATTTTAATAATAATGCAGCATTAAATAAAGAGAGAGAGCTAGCATTAGGCAGGACTTAACATAGTAGGTAAATTAACCTCTCTATAAAGTATTATATGTAAATTATTGCTAGGAATAGAATCTATAGCATTTAATTAGTATTATAATAAAAAATCTATATAATTTATAATTTGTGTAAGTCTCTAGAGCTTTAAAAGTAAAAGGCGCGGATTGCTAAAATTTGTCACGATTGTGCACGAGTAAGGTTATAGAGCTTCACAGAGGTCTAGTTTAATTACTACGTGAGGTATTATAGTAGGTACAAGACGTTATGTAAGGAACAGAAAGGTTTAAAAAAAAATTAGTAATTAAATACTTAGCTTAAAAGTCTAAGCACTTTAAGTATAAATTAAGCCTATTTTAAGTTTAGTTAGTGTTAAAGCAGTTTATACTTAAGTTTATGTCTATGTTATGTTATATTTATGTTAGACATGCACTAATAATACTCTAGTACACATCTAATATAGTTATGTCTAGGATCTAGGGAGGATACTGTAACAGTACCCCCCCTCTTATTAGAAAGGGAATCCTTTACATTAGTAGTTCTAGCATTAGGTTGTCTTTATTAGGGTACAAGTTTAGTTTAGATAAGTATTAGGCATAGAATTAGGTTACTGTAAAGTTCTTTTATAAGGCTTTTATAGGTTCTTATAATAGTTTGTTATATCTAGTCTATTTTATAAAGTATTTATAGATATGTTTCTTTTTATTAAACTAAATTTATTTAACATCTTTTATAATATATTCTAGTTTATTATTTATAATAATAGGTTTAAGTAGTAAGTTTAGCTATCTAGGTAAATAGTTAGATTTAGAAGCTACCTAGCGCAGTAATAATACGTAGAACACAGGGTGTATCTTTATGCTGTTAGGTAGAATTAATTAGTAAGCATATAATAAAACTATATAAGCTACTATAAAAAGGCTAAAGTTTTTCTAATTAAGTTTTTTTAATTATTAGTTTATTTAGATATTTCTAGTGTCTAGCTAGACCTTCTTACTAGCTGCATACATAAGGGCAGAAGTTTAAAATTAGTTTACGTACTTTTATTAAAAAGCTTAAGCCTATGTAAGCTTTTTATAAATGTATTTAGATATATTTTAAATCTTATTAATAAGTCTATTTACATTTATTACTTATATAGATTAATAAGTTAGTTAAAGGGTATTTAAAAGTAATTTAAATTCTATTTAAAGGTAGTATTTATAGTTTACTAAGAATAGGGATACTTATGTTAATTTAGATGTTATGTTATTAGCTTTAAACTATACTATAGCTAACTATTTTACTTAGTTATCTTATTAGTAGTTTATGTACACTTATAGAACTTATTCTATTACAGTGTTTACATTCTTAGTCTAGCTATTAGTCTCTAGGTAAAAAGCTATAGATAGATAGAAAATAATTTAGAGCTATTTATAAAGTTTATTCTAGAAGGCTAAGACAAACTACGTACCTCTATCTAATATAATTATATTAGGCAGGCTATAGTAAACTTATACATATTAGTAGAATAACTAGGCTATATTAGAGGTAGTTATAAAAGAACATAGTATTAAGTGTTAATACTTAGTTAAGTAATTAATAACTACTATAATATTTATATACTTTTTAGATAAAAGTAGGTTTATAATAAAATTAATTAATATGTCTTTCTAAGCTTATTTAAAAATTAGAAGTAGTTTAAGTAGGCTATTATACCTTTTTTAAAAAGCTTTTACTTTACAGCAAGTATAGCAACATAATACATATTAGCGTACAGTATAGAACATGCAGGGCTAGTAGTACTTTCTTTGTAGTAGGTTAAGAGTGTTTTCTTTACTTAGGTGTCCTTTAATAGGCAAGTTATGTATAATTTAAAGTAGTTTAATTCTTAGTTTATTAAAATTAAAAATTATAAGTTAGTTATAGTAATATAGCTTACTATTTTAGTTTTTATAGTTAGCTAGTGTTACCTTTTTTAACTAACTAGCGCTGTTTTAAAGTAGGTCTAAAGTTTCTTAAATAAATTTATTATTTAGATACTTATTAGTAATAATTTAATTAATTATTTAATTTATTTTATTTAAGTTAAGGTCTAAAAATAGCTTAAGTTAAAGTAAAGTTTAGTGTTAAGCCTTTTACACTTTTTTTAAGTAGAGATGTTTTAAAATTGCTTTATAAAGGCATCTAGTTTTCTTTTATTTTAACTAAGATAATAAGTAATTTTAAAATTTAAATAAAATAAGTATTTAAACTAATAAGCTTATTAGTAGCTAAGTTATTTTATAGTTATAAAGTACTATAAGTTCTTATAGTTAAATAAGACCTATATTAGATATGC